TATATGTTGAGATTTGCACCATTACTAGAAATATTAGTGCAATAAGCAGCTGTCCAGGTCCAGATGAAGAATTAAAGTACAAAGCATTTAATATGATGGCAAAATTACAGAAGTACTGGAATCTGTTTTCGGAAGACTCAAGTGAGAATGGTTCATCTCAAAACCATGAGATGAACAAGCTTTTGATAGTAGCAAGTGTATTTGACCCCACAAAGAAGATGAAGTTTGCTCACCTCTGTTTCGAGACGCTTTATGGTAAATGATCCATCGAGTATACTCTTCTTTCTGAAAAAATCATGGATATTTTGAAGAAATTGTTTGATGAATGAATACAATAGTTTTGCAAACAAAACTACTAGTGGTGGGTCTGCTACTTCTTCACAGTCACAAGGACCATCGTCTTCTCATTCTGAAGTTCACGTTACAAGTCAAGTTTATCAGAGAACAGTCTTGGGTAATGGAATCGGTTATGAAAGAATGGATAGTCTTTATGAGGAGCTTGTGCAAGAAACTGGAATTCCAGATTCAGTTGATGAGTTGGAATTGTATTTGAAAGAACTTGTAGAGCATCGAAAGGGTAATGAAAGGTAGCGAGTACGATGTATTAGATTGGTGGAGGAAAAATAATCCCAAATTCCTAGTTTTTTCTCTTGTAGCAAGAGATATACTTGCAATGCAAGTGTCCTCAGTAGCATCAGAATCTGCATTCAGCACCAATGGGAGAGTATTAGATCCATCTAGAAGTTGTTTGACACACTACATGATCGAAGTGTTGATGTGCACTGAGCAATGGTTGAAATGTGAAATCCATCTCAATGAGAAAGGAGACTTAACAATTGAGCGTTTGCTTGAGGAGGTAGAGATAGAAGATGAACTTATGCGAGGCAATTTATTTCTTTTCAAGTTTTACATAACCCTTAAATCTATTTTACAATTTCGATTATTAATCCTTATGTTCTTTCATTTATTTATAGAATTTGAACCTGATATATCATGGTTTTTAACCATGATATAAGTCTTTTTTGTTGAGTCTTTTTGGTCTTTTTTAGAGTCTTAGTAGAGTCTTTGCAGGTTATAGCATGTCTGGAGCATAATTGGAGATATTGAAGCCTTTTGGAGCATTACAAGATGAAGCCACGAAGTATGCAGCTTTAGAAGAAAAGTATGGATTTGGGTGACGCTCGTCACCCATAAAAGAAGGAGCGTGGCTGTTTTATTAAAAGTTTGAAGATTATTTGCTGAATTGGCCCAGAAGTTTTAGTATTTGCAAGAACACCCAGATCGTGCTTTAGCTTGTATATATTAGGTTTTCAGCCATTGTTGGCTTTTATCATAGATTTTAGAACTCCGAGAGCTTGAGAGAGGTTTAAGAAAACCTTCTTGTCACTTGATAGACTCAGCAGTTTGGGCAACTTGAGAATCCAATTTCTTGACATGGGTCTTCAAAGACTCAAATTTCCTATTTAAATCAGTATACAAGGCATCAATCTTCCCATTAAAGTCTATAGTGATCTTCTGCTGACCCTCTAACAGCTGTTCAAGCATGGCTTCCATCTTACTTGAAGCTGATGGTGTAGGTGGTGATTGATAAGAAGAGGAACCATAGTTCCTAGTAAACTGTTGTTTTGGTAAGGCTTCTGATATTCAGTCTTCTGAAACTGAGGATTGGGAGTGTAACCAGAAGAATTCTGGTTCCCTGTGAAGTTGCTCCTCTAATTGTTCCCACTGAATCCTCTGTTTTCTTGCTGATTGTTGTACCTTTGACCCTGAAAACCAGTCCCATTGATGTAGTTGACATCTTCTTCTTCAAACTCCTCAGCTGGCTCAAATGTCTCAACTTCAGCTGTAAACTGAACATACTTCTTACCCACCAAAAGGTTATGAACAGAGTCCAGCTTAGCCTTCATCTCAGCAGCAAACTGATTTTTTTCCAGCATTTCCAGCCATCTTCTGTCTCTCAAAATCAGCATTCTTTGTACTGTTGCTGGAAGCCAAGTTCTCTATCAATGTGATGGCGTCAGCTGGGACTCTAGTGTTGAAGTTCCCATTGCTTGCAGCATCCAAAGCCATCTGGTACCTCCAATCAATGCCTCTGAAGAAGATACCCAACAACTGCACCTCATTGTAGCCATGATGTGGGCAGTCTCTCTGATATAACTTGAACTTCAGCAATGCTGCCTTGAAAGCTTCAGTAGGAACTTGGGAAAAATAAGAAATTTCCATCCTCAACTCTTTTGATCTTGCATCATCATAAAAGTTGTTGAGAAAAGCGCTCTTGGTGTCCTCCCAAGTGGTCAAAGAGCCAGACTCTAATTGTTTTAGCCAATGAGCTGCATCTCCTCCCAAAGAGTGGGGGAAAAGCTTGCAGAATAACAAATCATTGCTGACTCCATTGGCTTTAACACTACTAGCCAGGTCTCAAACCTCTCTATGTGGTCTATAGGATGCTCATGTGGAAGTCCATGGAAAGGGTGCTGACCCACAAGCTGGTAGTAAGCATGCTTGAAATCGAAGTCATTTCTCTGAAAGGTAGGAGGGCGGATTGCAACTCTGTTGGCATAAAACTGGTTTGGTCTGTTGTAATCACCCAGAGTGCACTGAACAAAACGCCCGACAGCATTTCCTGCACCATTCCCTGTGATTGCAGGATGTTGATTCTGCACTAGTAACACTGCTTGCTCGACTACCACAGTCCCATCATCAGCAAGTTGCTGTCCTTCTTCATTTTGCCTGTTACCCTCTCCATCATACAGCAGACCATCTTCACCTTGAATCAGCACCAATGGAGCAACCATCTTAACAGGTTTGTTTGCTTTCCTGTTTGTTCGCTCTAAACGTGCTAGTGTCTGGTTGTCCAAGTCGATCAGCTCCTTTTCCTTGTTGTTTCAAGTAATGCGATTAGGCATGCACCTGAAACAGACAAGAAAATATTAGTAACAAAAACAAAAACTTAGACAAAATTCTAAAACTAAAATCTATAACCAACTATTAAGTCCTCGGCAACGGCGCCAAAATTTGATATGCTCAAATTATCTATTAGAGCCACTCTCTCAAATTAAGAGATCATTGTAGTACTTAGGGGTCGAATCCACAAGGACTTAAGAATATTACACAACAGATTTTAGGTTCAAATACAGCTAAGCAATCAAAAATTAATAAAACGAAAATGGTAAATAAAATAACAAGAGCAGGAGTGGATTATGGGTTCTTAAAATCAATGAAACAAGGCGCTAGGTAATGGGAAATTCGCAGGTTGACATAAATCGTAGACTACAGACTGAAAGGATTATTTGTTAAAACCGTTCTAGAACTCGAAAACACGAAATATAAAACCAATCGACTTCTGTCGCAAAGATTATCTATGATCAGATTCTAGAATTTCAAATTCCTCTGCAAATTCTAACAACCTAACAAGCATTATGGTTCAGGTTCGATATGTTCACAAAACCACTAATCCAAATTTCTTTGCAATCAGTTATTTTGCTTATCTAAGATAGTTCTGGTGATTAATAATGTTTCCACATCTATTAAACAACTTAAGATCTGATTTCTAGGTGATCAATCTAAAAATCAGTGTTAAAGCAATCTAGATGAAGAACCAAATGATTTATCCTTCCAGTTTTGTAGTTCTAACAATTCATTATCAACCTTTGAATAACCCAAAACCTAACTAGTCAACTACTCACACATAGGAATTGAAACACAAATCATGACTAAATAATATTACATTAAAAGATAGAGTAAAAGACAAAGGGGGTTCGAATTCTTCTCTAACAGAGTACGGATTTGTCTCCCCAAAAGCTCTGGATCTAACTTCTCTCTTAATCTCAATGAAAACAAGATAATGACCTAACAATGGCTTTCAAAACCTAAATACAACTCTAAACACGACTGGGGCAAGTTTACAAATAATAGGAAACTTCTGGGCCAAGTTATAATTCTTCAAAAGAGTTTTTAAGGCTCTTCTTCGCGGCCACGATCGGTGTCGATCAACACCAAGGAGTGGTGTCGATCGACACCCTGCTCCAGAATGCTCTCCGATTTGGCCTTTTCAGCATCAGCTTCATCATAGCTCCAAAAGGCTCCAAAATCCACAATTATGCTCCAATCGTACCTAGACCTGTAAAGACTCGAAAAGACTCGAAAAATACCAAAAAGACTCCATAAACAAGACTTATATCATGGTCAAAAACCTATAAAAACCATGATATATCAACTCCCAGAGACTTAGCTTTTGCTTGCCTTCAAGCAAATAGAAAACTAAATATAGAGTCGAGGTTTGAAAACTCGGGAACTCACCTTCTCATAGATCATTGCTTCAACTGTTCATCTTGTAATTCACACACTGCATTTCTAAAACCAAATCGAACCACCATGTACTTCTCCTTAGACATTCACAGCATCCCAAATTCAACTCATAAATTCACAGCATTGTCCAATAACTATCATTGCTAAACCTTATCAGCACTCTAAATATTCCAAAACCTTCTAGATTCATTCCCATACTATACCTAAACAAATATGCACTGCAATCGATCAATCTTTGGTACTTTTTCTCTCTCCCAAACTTATTCTTTTCTTCGTTCTTCATCTCTTTTTTTAAAAAAATCTTCATTCATCTTTGTCATCTTCTATATCCATAAAGTAATGAAAGCGAGCGACTAAACCTTGACGGCACACAAAAATGTCACCGATCTAAGAATGTCTCCAACAAAAATATATAAACATTAAAAAAAATAGAAAATTATGAAGAGAGAGAGAGAAAAGCAGAAGAAACGTCTCTCATTTAAAAACTTGTTACAAACGTTTATGTACGGATGTTTCTATCTAATTTGTTCATTCTATTTATATAAAGTTTAATTAAGTTATTAAATTATATAATTAAAATATAGTTTAGATACCCTTTGCGAAAGAATTATCATTGGAGATGCTCTAAAGCATTAATATCACCATCAATTTCAGCTTGTGAGGTTAAGTTCTTCGCTTTCATTCGAGTTAAATTTAGAAGTATTTTATATAAAAAGGATAATATTTATATTAACAACCAGTAAATATTGTATAATTTGTGGCTGGAATATATAATATTTTAATTTATATACAGTTTTTTTACATTTTGGAAGTGAAAGGTTTGTTGACTCTACAGTTCGTCGGTAGGTCCTTTGAAAAGAGAAGCTGCATAATCAATCCCAAAAGATGATAGGTCAATAGATTTTCCTTTCTTCTCAGAGGCCGTCTTCACGAAGAGACCAATAGCTCGAGCCCATTTCACCATAGTTCCGATAATTTCTTTCCTTTGGTCAAAAGTTATCTCTTTCGAATCATTCTTCTTCATCTCAGCCAAGAGCTTTCCAATAGACAACATACCATCAATCATCCTCCACGACTCCACCTTTTGATAAAAAAAGACACAATAATCTTTTTATATAACACCATGGCAAAAAAGAAAATTAAAAATGCATGCTCATGTCTTATTAACTTACTGATGTTCCAGTTTTACCACCATCCAATAAAGACATAGCTCTGAAGAGCTCCTCAGATTTGTCTGAAATGTCGACTTTGATGATGTCTATTGGTCCGGACTTGAAGCATGTCATGTAGTCCTCTACCTTTGCAAAGAAATTCTTGAACTCTGTTGTAGCAGGACACCTAACCTCAAGGCTAGCCAGAAAATCCAACATACCATCGTAAGCGAAAGACTCAAAATCTTTGCTTATTTTGGGAATATCCTTCAAGAAATGGGGCAATGAGAAGGTTCCTCGTGTTTCGGAAAGAGATCTTTTAGAAGTAGAAGCTTTGCTAGTGTCATAATCGATTCCAAAAGATGATAAATCAATAGAGCGTCCTTCATTCTCAGAGGCCATCTTCACGAATACACCGACCCCTCGAGTTCATTTCACCATAGACTGAATCATTTCTCTTCTTTGTTCAAAATTTATCTCATTGGAACCGATTTTCTTCATCTCAACCAAACCTTTTCCAAGTGACAACAACCCATCCACCAGTCTCCATGAATCCTCCTATACTCAGAAAAAACAACATTTTACACTTAAACTGCGTGACAAACATTCTTGAGTGTTAACCTATACTATAGTGTATGGTTGAAACTTACTGATGTTCCGCCTTTTGTTCCATTGAAAGCAGACATAGCCCAGAAGAGGCTTTCAGATTTTATTGTCAGCTGGACTTGGATATCTTTTGAATCGGGTGATGTGGAATCGAAGCAAGCCATGTAATCCTTCAGTTTTATGAAAAAATCATTGAACTTAATGTTCTTTGGACATTTTCCCTCCAGATCACCCATGAACTCCAACATACCTTTGAAAGCAAAAGGCTCGAATTCTTTGCCTTATTTGGGGAAATTCTTTAGGTAGTGGGGTAATGAGAATGTCGCTTGCGTTTCATAGACAATGCTTAATGCAACAAGTAACATTAGACATATCATTAATGCTTTTTTGCCATTTTATTCTTAAATATATAAAAGAAAGTTTATTAGTTTTTTTTTCAGTTTTTGTGTGATTATATATACTTTCTATGGGAACTCAATTTATATAGATGTTCTATAAGTCTAATTTTAGCTATTAAAGTGAATGAAATGGACAAAAAATCAATGGTCGTCCACGAATGGTAAAAGAGATTTGTAAAAATTTCTATGGCTATTCGCTCTACTCTAAGTTCTATTTTTAAAGATGGATCATTTTTCTCGTCAAACTATATTTGGATCACAGATATAAGAGTACTGCGTGTATGGACCCTATACCAAGGATGATATATACATGTATATCAATAAACACTCTCAAGAAAGCACATGCGACATAGACGCCGAGACAAAAAAATATGGTCCATTTGGGTCAATAATTATGAAACGGCCAGGAAACTAAAATCGGTAATTCATCCGTGATTGTGCTGTTTGCCTGGACCGACTAATTCAGATACAGGTAGATACCTCCTCCTCTAAAGGGGTTTTTTTCCATCCGATTAGTCTCTCCTCTTCTACGTGGTGATCTCTTCTTATTTATATTCGCAGGCTCTTTTGTTTTGTCTCTTCCATTAAGCATGTTAGGGGAGCAGGTGAGGGTAATGATTCTTGTGTGTTTGGAAAACTTCGCCAACTACCCGAAACAGTACGCGGGAGTGGGTTGGCCGAGATAGCATGGCGTGTGTCAGTGTCTAGCGCAGTCTAGATCCACGTGTCAGACTCTCTCTCAACCCGGCAAAATGGGTCTCAACAACCGTTTTGATAAAACAATAGTTACTTATCCATAATAAGCGAATGATATATATTTTTTGAAATTCAACATCTTTCAAATCCAAAATTTAGTAATCTCATATAAACATACAATCTTTAACGTAAAAAAGAAAAAAATAAAGAGATGACTTTATGCAGGGGGAAATCCCAGAAGAGACATGATCTGAAATACCCTTCTCTCTCAAAATATAATCTCCTATATCCCTCAATAATCTACACATCCCTTTTATAACTGAATTACCGATTTTACTCTTACTGAATTTAATTAGGAATTGATTTTTTAAAAATCTCACACACTCTCTCTCTCTCTCTCTCTCTCTCTCTCTCTCTCTTCACTCTCCTCGAGCTCCCCACTCTCCTCTCTCCCCTCTGCCATTGTTGCCAACAACTGAAGCTCACGGATCTGGTTTTTCTGAGCTCGTTCTTCCGCTGTCGCCGTCCTGGAGCCCTCCATCGACGTCGTTGGAAGTCAGAAACTGTAGTGAATGGACTGCAGTTTGTAAATGGAGGTAAACTATATTTTTTAAGAATTAAAAATCAAATGCTTTAATGCTTTGGATATAGTGTGTTTTACTATGATTGATTGGTTGATTATGACTATAGATTGGTAATAAATAGTATGTGTTGGTTGAATTGAGTTGAATCGTATTCAATTGTAGATTAGAATGAATTGAACAAATAATCATCCAATTTGAGTTTCTGCAAAAAACAACTGGGTAGAACTAGAATTACAATGGAACTTGGTACAGCTGGATATTACTGATGGTATAACTGTGGCAAACTAGTTACTAGTATCACTGATTAGTAAAGTATAACTTTATTACTGATTGTAAGACTATGGATAACTAGTCAATACTATCATTGATTAAAAAAGTATAACTTGGTACAATTGGGTATTACTTATTGTACAACTATAAAAAATTAGTCACTACTATCACTGATTAATAAAGTATAACTTGGTACAACTGGGTATTACTTACTGTATAACTATGGATAACTAGCCACTACTATCACTGATTAATAAAGTATAACTTGGTACAATTAGGTATACTAGTTGTATAACAGTGGATAACTAGTATTACTGCTATCAGTGATTAATAAAGTTTAACTTGGTACAACTGGGTATTACTGATTGTATAACTGTGGATAGCTATTATTACTATCAGTGATTAATAAAGTTTTTGTATTATTTTGGCAGGATACAATGAGTAACAACAGCATCATACATTTTAAATGCAAAGGTTAGCATTATAGTATATTTTTGAAGACAGCAGCGATGGAGGTAACTTTGGCGTTGATAGAAGATAGAATATGCAAAAAGGTTGATTTAGATAAAAGTATGGTGAAGTTAATATTTAGTTACACTTCACTGCTGGTGGGACATGAGGAAGAGTGGATTATTTTTGATGATGAGGATCTTCGTGTTTATTTGGCCTCCATTGACAATGAGAATCATAGATGTCTTTTGCATGTTGAGGTCATCACTATCTCAGAAGAACTGCCAGATAAGCTTTCCAAAGCGAGGGAAATTTTTTTTGCTGGTGTGAACTATGAGGAGTTGCATTCGAAGGATGATGAAGTTGAAGATAATGCCATGATTGTGTACAACCAACAGCAGAACAACAACATAAAGCTATAGAGAAGGATGATGAGGCTAGAGAGGGTGGTTAATCTGTGGATATGCGCAATGAATATGGTGAGTTGCGACCTGTTGTAGAAGCTACTCTGTTTATGGAGGCATGGGAAGATGTTTTGGGTCTATATTTACATCAAAAATTTCCAAATAAGAAGGCAGTGCAGGATTTGGTGGATAGAGACTCATTTGTGAATTGTTTTTATTTTGCTATAAAGAAGTCAGATAAGGTCTGAATAGTGTTGAGATGTCGCCAAAGAAGTTGTAGTTAGGGTTTACGAGCTGCAAAGATTAAAGATACAGATTCTTTCTTGATTAGAAGGTATTAGATGCATACATGCTCTCGCGCTAGTCAGAGTTCAAGCAACAATAGGAGGAAAGGCACACCACGATTAGTTGCATCTCTTTTGAATGATGATAATCCAGGCCAAATGGACACTCGGGCTCCTACAAGTATCATGCATCTTGTTCAGGCAAAAATTGGCGTGAGGATATCATACTCCACTGCGTCGCAAGACAAAAATCAAGTTGTTTCTGATTTGAGTGGTAATCCAGAAGAAAACTACAAGATATTAAATTGTTATTTGTACATGCTGGAAAACTCCAATCCAGGTACAATAACAAGGGTGAAGTTGGATGAAAAGGAAAAATTCAAGTATTTATTCATTGTTTTGGGAGCTAGCATAGAAGGGTTTAAATGCATGAGGAAAGTGAATGTTGTGGATGCAATTTTTCTGAAGAACGGGTTTGGTAGTGTACTAGTTTTTACTTCAGCTCAGGATCCTAATCGGCATAATTATCCTATAGTCTTTGCTGTACTCGATGGTGAGAATAATGGAAGTTAGACCTGGTTTTTCAAGATGCTGAAATCTGTTGTGGCGGACACTTCCGAATTGTTATTTATGAGTGACAGAAATCTAAGCCTCATCAGCGCCATAACTAATGTGTATCCGAGCTCTCATCATGGTTATTGGGTATTGCATTTGTCCCAAAATGTGTAAGGTCATGCTTCTAACGTTAATAAAGATGTGGTCGCTTGAAGATTCATGGAGTGTAGTAGGTATTACATGGTGGATGAGTTTGAGCGTGCTTATAGTCATTTCCAGATGAGATATCCTTATGCGGCAAAGTATCTTGAGCACACTACTCAGACAGATAAATGGGCAAGGTGTTATTTTCCTGGAGATAGATACAACTTAGATACAAGCAACACTGTGGAAATACCACTTTAGATAAAAAAAAAAAACACTTTCAATGGCCAAATTATAATGGTTACATATTTAATCTAAATTCTTTCCAACATTTTGAGATAGTAAAATAGCTATTTCATAAGCCTTTTAGCAAAAAGAAACAGCTATTTCAAATACATAGTGTCATTGGTTCTGATGCGCAGTCTTATTTGGTGAATGTACTCTCGAAAAGTTGCAGTTGTAGGGTGTTTGATATTGAGAAGTATCCTTGAATGCACGGACTAGCTTTCATTACATTCCAGTCTAATGAAGATAGAGTTTGCGATATCCATCTACATGAATTGTGTTCAAGATATTATTGGGTGGAGCAGTGGGCATTGGCGTATCACATGACAATTTATTTAGTGCCTCATCAGTCTGAGTTGAATGTCCCTGATTACATCAAAGAAGTACAGATCATGCCAAATCGCCTCAAAAAGAAGGGAAGGAAGAGAATAAAAAGGTTTCCATCTGCTGCAGAAAGCTTTCCTAGGACTCAAAATAAAAGGCGACCAAGACAAGGATTGGAATGGTTGTTATTTAAAAATCGCAGTATTGTTTGATTTTCGTATTCTCTGGTTTGTAAAACTGTGTACACAGTGTACAACTGTGTTGAACTATGTAAAACTGCATTTCACAACGTTTTTAATATTGGATAACTACGAGAAACTGTGTACAATTGTGTATAACAATGTAAAACTGTCTTTCACAACGTTTTCAATATTAAATAACTACGAGAAACTGTGTACACAATTGTGTATAACTATGTAAAACTGCTTCTCTTTTTCAATATAGAACAACTATGTAAAACTACGTAAAACTGAGATTACTTGTATTACTGGTATTACTAATTATAGTTGATAATATAAAAAATAATTTTTATTTTTATAAAACCATAACCAAAATTACTCAACACTCCATTTATTATGTATTAACTTCATAAAGTGTATTAATTAGAGCATTATGAAATTATATCATATTGTATATAGTCGACAAGCTTGACTCGTATACTTGAAAGAACATTTTATAAATAATAACCAACTTAGAATGACAAAGTTACAGAAATATTGATTTTAATCATATCAATACATAAATCCATCAGAATTATATGCTAATCGATTTATTTAGACTGTAGAATTAAAGAAACACAATTTAAGAGTAGGTAATACTAAATAAATTGGAAAATACTCAAAGTATAATTATTTGGAACTTACAATTACTATATTCTGTACAACTTCGAGTAAATGTTTGGCGCCAATACAAAAATTCTCAATTTTTTAGTGTCAATACCCAAAATTCCCAATTTGTTGGCGCCAATACCCAAAATTCCCAATTGTTTTGCGCCAATACACAAAATTACTCTCTCTTCCACTTCACAATCTCATATTTTCCTCAGCGCTCC